GAATCTCTGAAGAACAGCAGCAATGCAACTGTCTGACCGTGACGGGCTCGGCAATGGTTTGGTATCAGATTGCTAAATCCAGTCGAGAGACTCGAGCTGCGAAAATCTGTCTCGCACATATTATAAGTGCCTAGGTGCTCGTGAATACTGATGCTTGAGACTATCACACTAAACTACTGATTGATTGCTGAAAAGAATGTGAGTATCTTCGATTTTGAGGTGGCGCTTTGTTTTTGTATGATCGCGGTGGCTTGTTTCTCCACCCCGATTTATATTAGTCTCCATTCCTCAATTTTCAACACCTCAGCTTCATCCCAAACATTACTCCAATTGACACAATGGAGATTCTCACCCCTTCAGATTATCAGTCTAATGCTAAGAAGCGTCCGAGACGGAGTATCAGGCCTTGTGATGCATGCCGTAAAAGGAAAACGCGCTGTGTACCGAAGGATGGGGGTGAGAAATGCGTCCACTGTGAACTCCGGGGTTCATCATGCACCTTCCAGGCCGATCCACCGGAGCGTGCAGCGCCATATCCTGCTCCAGAGAGAGATAGAACAACCCCACAGCCAGGTCAAAATGAAGCGCAGCTTCATGGAGGAGAATTAAGATCTCCAGAGCAGACAAGAGCCCCTGGAACTTCTGGAGATGCAGGCCGCCATACCGCTGGGTCTACGTCTGGATTGTCAGAGTTCATTCCTGACGCCCTGACGCTCAGCCTATCACAAACCCGATTCGCAGAATTATATGGTTTGGGAAGCGATATGGAGCCAATCTTGATGGTACCTACTTATTTTTTTTTTTCAAATGCATGAAATCATTTGCTAATCATACAGCGCCACCGGCCATACGATCCGTTCACGCAGGAATTCAGTCTCGAAACTCACGCGATCCGTCGAGTTCTTGAGCGTGATGGCGATTGCGTTGACTACCCTCTTACTTTCCATGTAGTCTCTGATGAGAAAGCTTTGGAATTTGATGCTACGTATTCCCAGGTGGATGCAATTGAAACCTGTATTCGACCAAATGGACCCAGTCTTGTCGAGCTGTTCTGGAGGCATGTTCAACCTTGTTATCCTCTTCTCAATAAAGAGCTTTTCATGCAGAGCTATAATCAGTCTTATCGGAACATCTCTGCGGCTCTCCTAGGCGCGGTCTATTTGTCGGCTTTACGTTGGTGGCCTTACGATCCAGAGTTATCGATCCGCATTGCACCAGACTCAGGATCACTAAGAAAGTTGTTGCACCGAGCAATTGCATCGTCCTATCACAGGCCAAAATTGTCATCAATCCAGGCCATTCTCTTGCTTCTTCAGTGCCAGCCAGAAGATCCTCTCAATCCCGACCATACGTATGACTGGGGTTTAACATGCCAGGCACTAGCCATCGGTCAATGTATAGGTCTGCATCTCGATGCAGACGAGTGGTCGATACCTATCTGGGAGAAGAATGTCAGAAAGAGACTGAGTTGGGCACTATATATGCAAGATCGTTGGACAGCTTTGGCATATGGACGACCCGTACACATCCATCACGAAGACTGGACGGTGACCGAGTTGGTCAATCAGGACTTTGCAGACTGCGACAGTTCCAGCTTAGATGACGAGAGGCGCTCTATCGGTGCAACAGGAAAGTTGCAATTCATGCTAATGGTGCGACTAACACAAATTCTATCCTCGGTCCTTGTTTCGTTCTACACAGCTCGGATGTGCTTCGACCAAGATACTACCCTTTTATACCAAAGAGCTCGCCCGTTGTTGGAGCAGCTTCAGGCCTGGTATCAGAGCATTCCTTCTTCGCTTCAAATGAATATATCATATCAGAGAAAGCTCTCATTCCATGGTACGTAATCCATTCAGAAGAAATTGATGGATAATTAATGGGGCGTAGGTTATCTTCATTTCTCTTACTACGGTGTGACTATCGCAGTTCTTCGGCGACTGATTCGATCTACGGCACTTCCTCCGAGCTGCGCCGATGAACAGGTGCTCTCAGATATTCGACAGCTTGCATTGCAAACCGTACAAAATGCAATCGGCTTTGTCATGAACCTCAGGCCTGATCATTTGGAAGCATTTTGGTACTTTAGTAGGCTATCTTCGTTCACCTTCTGTTACAGGTTCAAATACTGATACGTTTGAAGCATCGCCGTATCTCTTTGCTCTCGTTGGGTCATTCACCACTTTGCTTCTCGTTACTTCTCTGTCGTCGCAGGAGCGGAACTTTTGGCAGGAGACCCTCAACTCGTACTTGTGGAATCTTCGGATGATGAGCAAAAGCAGCGAACCGATGAGATATGCTGTCAATCGTCTAGAAGGTGCAATTCTTCGAGGATTGGAACACGCCCTTGCTGTCAATTTGAACGAGCCCCTGGATGATAGTGTCAGCCCGATGATGGCAAATTACTCTACACAGACGTTCGAGTACACGGATTTCGGAGATTGGGACCTTGCTTCCGGCGTCAACGGTGCATTCGATTTGTTGACCGCATTTCAATTAGATCCGAACTCACTGATGCCGAGGGGCTCGATAGGTGACGGATAGGGCCGATAATACAAGCAATTTATTTATTGATATCGAACGCCTAGATTAATATTCTACATAGATGTTTTGGTAACCTGCCCGCCATATCTGATGGAGACACTATTCAACTCAACATTCCCATCTTCGACAAACCACCCAAGCCTTCGATCAGCTGTTGCTTGCTCTGCCTCTTCATTCACAGCTTTGCTGGTAGATATGGGAAGGCGGAAGCTGATTGATCGACCTCCACAGAAAAACTCTAAGAGCTGGTTTCTGAGCAACAACGTGACGGCGCCGGTCAATAGGACATTTTCGTGGCGTGTAATTTCCGGACCGTCCACTGGTCGTGGGAGATGTAGTTTATACTGATCAGCCCAGAAGTCGTCAAGCGGAGGAAAGTCTGTGTGAAGTGTGATGGTATATGTGCGTTCCCCACAGGGAGTAAATTGCAGGCGATGACCCTTCTGGGTATTGTCCGCCTGCAGAATGATTCCGAACGAATGGGAGTCACAGTCTTGAACTTCAAATGTAAGAAGGATGTCTTGGGTCTCGTTAATATTCAACTCGGGAAAGACGGCGGTAGTTGTCCCCGGCGATGACAACGAGATTTGTGATGGTACGATATCGGTACTTACTGCCTCAGAGGTTTCCCTGAAGAGGCCTTCGACGCCGATCGCAGGCCTGACTTGGAGGAAGCCATTGCTATCTGCCGACACTTCGCGAGGGACAGCAAGATCACCGGCCCAGAGCCATTTACGTTCGTCTTCTAGATAATCCCCTATCCAGCCAAAATATATTCGCTTGCTAGGATCACCAGCTTTGGGGCACGACTTTGCTGCGTACCATCGCCGTCCATCTAGTCGACCATGTGTCCCATCTCGAGGAATCCTGAATGGCCCGTATGGTGAATCCGCAATGCGGTATACGGTTCCTGCATTAGGAGCATGGAAGCGCGAGTATACCAAGTACCATTTCCCGTTCGGCAAACTGAAGAGCTCAGGACATTCGGGACAGAACATGTCATTCGGGGAGTATAATGGATTTGGTGCAAATGTCCAGGTGTCTAGATCGGTCGACTTCAGAAGAGCAATGCAGCCACGGCTCCAGTGAGGACCGCTCGCAAGCCTGGATGCGATGATCATCCAGTACTGTGACTCCTCCTTGTTGAAAAAGACATATGGGTCTCTGAAATCGATGTGTTCCAGCTTATCCCGACCATCGCCGTTGAAAGAAATCTCCTTGCCGGGATAGTCAAATTTTGTGCCATGGGCATCTGTTGATTTCGCCCGAAGGATTACTTGCTTTCCATTTTCTGACAAGTTATAACCGGTGTAAAAAATGTTCATATTCCCATCAGGACCCAGAACAGCAGCCCCTGTCCAAGCACCGTCGGCGTCCGGAGCTGTGGGTGACTCTCCAGGCTTGATGCTTGGTTCAACATCTCGAGTCCAATGCACCAGATCCTTCGACTGCAACCGCCACCAACACGACCGCAGCCGTGGAGGATGATGTTTTGTGAAAGGGGGTGTTGTCAAGTGAAACAAATGATATATGTCATCGACAAGGATAGGAATGGCATCTGCAGCAGCTTGAGCAGGGGAAACGCGACTATAGAAGCCACCTTCAGGAGGTGGGGTTGGAACTTGATTCGTGCTACCCATAGTCGTGTTTGTCTTGTCAGTGAGCTATAGAACGCATTTCGTCTTCGATAATTTGGTCGGCGAGAGCATTATTTACATCTTAGTCTTTCACCAAAGTCCAGACTGTCGGAGTGATCAACCCGACACGCGATGAATGTAGTAATCACTAGGACTTGTGATACTAACGTGCTAGTCGACACGCCGTGGCATGTCCCAGGATGACTTACCGGCCGCCATCTTTCCTCATTTGACGTCTGCCCTCGGGCTGTGAGATTGCTGGCTGCCGGCGGCATTCCAAAAGCGGCATGGTGACATCAAGATTGCCGAGTCAGCGGACTAATACGCCCCACTAACATGACTTTCATGGCGACGGCATCCCCAACTTTGCCCATCATCTGAACAAATACGGGGTAGGCTTCTCCAGTTTCCGGGGTACATGATCCAGGTCCTTGGAGACGGTGGTGCCATCAATTTCCCAGCTCGAACGGCTGTTCATTATAAGAATGTCTACTAGCCCAATCACGGCGATCCTGCCAGCTTCAGAGGAAACCACTGAAACAGATACTTTTACATTCAAGATACAAAACTTTTGACGATGGGAGGGATCAAGTACCCGTATATTTGGCTGTTTTGTGGATTTGCGGCCTTGGGCGCCTGTCTTTATGGATATGACGGCGTCTACTTCAACGGTGTTTCAACTCTTGGTATGGCATGGCACCTTCAACACCGGACATCACAATACTAACAGTACCAGATGTCTTTCTCCGACATTTCGGACACAAAAACGCCGATGGTGACTATGAGATTAGTCCTTCAACCCTCTCAGTTATGACATCCATGATCAACGTGGGCGAACTGCTTGGATCACTCAGCGCCGCACCTTTGAACGACTTCATCGGACGTAAAGGTGTATTCATGACCGGCACTGTTACCATTATCATCGGTGTCATTCTCCAGCTTGCCACGAGCTCCAACAAGGCACTCATAACTGCTGGCCGAGCTATTCTGGGCTTTGGAGTTGGCAACTTCTCGGCTACATCTCCATTATATATGGGCGTAAGCAAAACCCATTTCGTCAAATACATCCTGCAGAGCGCTAACAAAGGTCTAGGAAATCGCTCCAGAGTCAATGCGTAGTCCTCTCCTAATGTGCTGGCAACTCACACTTTCGGTCTCACAGATCATTGCTGCCGGTATCAATCGCGGCATGGTCAACATCGACACTACATTTGCCTACCGCTTTCCTATCGGCTTCCAGCTCCTGTTCCCTTGCCTTATTCTGGCAGGAATCTGGTTTGTGCCAGAGTCACCTCGCTGGCTGCTACGGAAGGGTCGTACTGAGCAAGCCGTACGATCATTGAAATCTCTTCACAGAGAGGAGAAGAACTACGACCCCCAACCCGCTGTTCATGAGATCCAAGTCGGCATTGAGAGGGAAATCGAAACTGAGGCCGAGAGCGGCTGGCTACAGCTACTCACGGACCCGATCGAACGTCGAAAGGTTATCTACAGTGCTGGCGCACTTGTTGCACAACAGGTGAGACTCCTCGATGCTATTGACTTGCTAGGCCGCAGTAGGATACTAACTACTCAACAGATTAATGGAATTCAATGGTTTTATTACTTTGGCACGGTATTCAGCAAGGCAATTGGACTCTCGGATCCCTTCCTGATGACGTTGATCGTCTTCATCATCCAGGTTTTCGTGGTGCTGGCAGCCGTTCTTTTGGCCAACAAACTTCCAAGACGACCCCTTCTCATGATCACTACAGGTATAATGACCGTTTCTATCTTCGTGGTAGGATGCCTTGGCATTCCTGGAGGTGAACCTTCAACGGTGATCGGCAAAGTTATCATCAGCTTTGTCATTATTGAGATTGTGGCTTTCAACTTTGCGTGGGGTCCTCTGGGCTGGACTATTGTGAGTGGCTTTCCGATTTCTACTGTTTTTATTCGACGGCCAGCTAATCCCGGACTTCGCAGGCTTCTGAGATGGCTGTTGGCCGCAACCGCAACAAGATCTATGCCATTGCAGTGGCTTGCTTCTGGGTGACAGTCTGGGTGACAGTCTTCACTCTTCCGTACCTATATTACTCCGCCAACTTAGGCCCCAAGACTGGTTTCGTATATACCGGTTTATGTTTCATCACCTGGGCATATGTCTATTTCTGTGTGGGAGAGGTAACAGGCCGAACGATTGAGGAGATCGATGGCTTCTTCAGAGACGGCATCCCAGCGAAGCAGTGGAAACATCAGCCAAGAAAAATAGACTCACCATCACTCGATATCGAGAAGAATGATGGAGTGTCCGAAGAGAAGATGGGAGGTGCTGGCAAGGCAGAAGAGGTAGTTCACTCATAAGCCGGTAGGATAGGAGGAAGAATAGAGGGAGGAGGGGATTTTGTAAGATCATATTAAAAGTTGTAGTCAGATATATTGAGCTACATGCCAAGCAACATATATTATCCTGAAATCCTTGATCAATCTGATCAGGTAGCTGAGTATGTGTTGACATTGCACATGAGCTGTTCTCCCGAAAAGTTGAGGTTTTGGCTAGCGTATGATGGACGCAATCGTTGAAGACTTCATAACAGTTGCTAAAAGATGACGCATTTACGCCTGGCTTATTTTGACTACCTAGGTACGCATGCATTGCTCGAGGCGAGTTAGCGCTAACGTAACACTTAATGCGCATTGGCGTATCGGCGTGTCAGAGCATTTTGTCTGTCATATCAATCTCGCCTTATCAACAGAACTCCTTCGAAATTTTAAGAAGCGAACTCAGCAACAGTGCCGTGGCAATCTCTTAAATACAGCTTTTGCGCCACAGACTCACTGGGAACCCATCACGTCTCGAGGTCCAGATGCCAATTGATGTAAGAAGAGGCATAGCGCAAGCTTGAGGGGAATCATGGCCGCGGCGCGAACCTTTCTCGCCTTCCAGCATGATGCCTCACAGCATATGATGCAGACCTTAGTGACGGCAGTGCGACCGTTTTCTGCTCTTGAAGAGGCTAATCGTCTACTTTTCAAACAAGGAACAGACGAAGACTGTGCTATCGTCACCGAAAAGACTATTTTTCACCCTCAGGGCGGGGGTCAACCCTCGGACGTCGGCTCCATGACCAGCGAGGCGGGTGTCTCCTTTGATGTCTTGGCAGTACGCATGGATGCAGTTCGCGACGGACAAGTTCTGCATTTTGGTCGCTTTATTTCATCTGCGGCCAGCTTTCAGGTTGGAGAGACTGTCAAGCAAGCAATTGATGCAGACAAGCGGCTGCTTTTCTCGAGACTTCATACAGCCGGACACGTTCTTGGTGCTGCCGTGCGACATCTTTTAGAAAAAGAAGTAGAAGGCTTCGATGAGTTGAAGGCGTCACATTTTCCGGACTCGGCGGCTTGCGAGTTTCAGGGTCTAATCGAGGGTAAATGGAAGGAGCCCATACAAAAGAAACTGAATGAGTACATCGCCGCTGGCATGCCAGTCGAGATCGATTGGTGGGATGAAGACGACTTCCGAAAGAATGGATTGGAGAGACTCATTCCAGACCCTAGCCTTGCGCCTCCTGGCGAAAAATTTCGGGTTGTGAAAATGTAAGTGATTAACTCACCGTCAATACTTATCCCGACAACATGGTTGATGCTTACTCGCAACTAGACAAGGTGCTGAAGTCTACCCCTGTGGCGGCACGCATGTGCCGAGCACAGAGCTGTGTGGTGACACGAAGGTCAAGAAGATATCGAGAAATAAGGGAACATCTAGAGTGAGCTACGCCGTCCAAAGTTAGAGTGAGTTGGATATTAGAAAGCTGCTGTGTGATCTAAGATAGAATTGATAGAGATAGTTATCAGGACATGGTGTCTTCTGAAAAGAAAAGAAAAGAAAAACAATTCCCCGAAGCACAGCAGCAGAATAGAATACTGGATGTGGTATACATGGCGAAGCTACTCATGTGTCTGAACCCCCATATGCGTAGCTGTGGCGCCAGTACCTCTTCTGTTCTCCAGTAAACCTAACCTCTGACCGAAGCTAATCTGCGGTTTTCTCCAGGAAAATTTTAAGCTGAAGGATTATACGAAATATCGTTCGGCCAACCCTGAATTGGCTGTTTGACATTACCAACTGCATTTGTGCGGCGTGTGACTTAATCTACGAAAAATGTAGGTGTCACTACTGAACCTAAATATCTTTCTATGAAGAAACTCATCTGAACTACGGGTAATGTTGAGATGTCGACTTCACCTCAAGTTGTTAGGTGTGATAGCTGAGAGGCTTGGGTCATTATCATGATCACTCAAATTCTCTTTTGTCCTTCCGTGCTCGCATCGGCAGTCATTGTCGTAGCGTATCTGGTTTATATAGCATGTTTCAAACGATTCGAGCTCGATGACCTCCCAATAGTCGGAGCTAAGCCGGGAGATTGATTTTCTTACTGGCAAGCTCTCTACCGAAATATGCAAAGCCTTCAAGTCAGCATTGAGATATGCATACGAGCATCACAAAGACCAAGCTGTTAGGATGCCTGTTATGAGTGGACTCCGATATGTCATGATTCCCTTGTCCGATATACAACGGCAGATTGAGTAGCCAGACACGGTACTAAGCATGCATGAATGTGCCCTGGAGTCTTTACAAATCGATCGCACGGCTATGGGCCCGAGTCTCTTACACAATCTAGTTCACAATCAGATCATAGTTACGAAGTTGACAAATCAAATTGGACACTTGGTTCCTGACATGATCGATGAGACTGGTTTCAACGTTGACGAGCTCTGGGACGCCGATACATCAGAGTATCAGTGATATTTGTGTTTACGATACGCTGCGGATGGTTATTGCAGCTATAACAAATAGGGTTTTCATTGAGCTACCGTATTGTGGAAACCGTCGCCTCCTAGATTTGGGCATAGCTTACGCCCAAGATATTCCCATTTTTTGTGAGGTTCTGAAAATGTTTCCAAATTCCCTCCGGGACTTGTCAGCTTTGGTCGTCACCATTCAGAATCGTATCCACTGGAACGCATTCATCAGATCCTACGGCCAGAGATCGAGAAGCGAGTCAAAAAATACGACGAGGCTCATGCTGGCCCTGAGAAGAAAGTAACTTCCCTCGAACCAAATGACTTTCTTCAGTGGTGGCTGCAGCAGGCGAAGGAGAGTGGAGATCCTTATATGTTGCGGCCTGAAACCTTGGCTGCGAGAGTGTTGTTGCTTAACTTTGCTTCTATCACACCTCCTCCTTCGCACTCACGCATGCTGTCATTGATCTTATTTGTTCTAAAAGAGAATATATCGATGAGCTACGAGAAGAGATATCGACGGTGCTGGCAGAAAATGGTGGCGAGTGGAACAAAAAGGTATTGTCGAAAATGGAAAAACTCGACTGAGTCATGCGGGAGAGCTAACGGGTCAACTCATCTGTCACTCTTGCTCTAGGACGAAAAGTTGTTACACCTGAGGGCGTTACCATGGCGTCTGGCGTGCACCTTCCCGTACGGCAAACATCATGCACGCAAGGCTACGTGATACATAGTGACCCGACCATTTATCCAGACGCATAGAAATTCTAGCCGCTTCGGTTTGCAGAGAAGAGAGCGAACCAGAGTGAAGAATACGTCAAGAGGGCTAGAATGGCTTATGCAACTACAAGTGCCGAGTTCTCGCTTTCGGAGGCGGCAAGAACGTATGCCCTGGTAGATTCTTTGCTGCGGCGGAGTTGAAGCTTATACTTGCTCATTTGTTGATGACTTACGATTTCGAAATGCAGCCAACTCGTCCACATAATGTCTGGCTTGGACTCAACAGAATACCCCCTATCGAGGCGACGATCAGGGACAAAAAGAGGGAGAGTAGTCCTTGAATTCTTTTGATTAATGTATCATCAAATCATATTGTCGGCTGTAACCTATTCACGACGTAGACCATTGACAGAGTCATAGTGACAAAGTCTTGTAATATCTCCTAACTGAACCCCGTTACTGCCGCATAGTGTAGTAATCCATGAGGAAGAAGTTTGTGGCCATACCAACCGGATAGCCTTTGATGAATGAGAATTACCCCAGTGGCCACCTCGAAGTAAGTGAGGGTTGTGATTAGAATCGGTATTGAAGTACTTTCTTTCATCAGTTGCAGGAGGTATCAAAACTTCATCAGCTTACATTCCATCTTGAACCCAATTAGCCTTCTTCTGCGTCCATATTGTCATGTCTCCTTCTGCCCTGTCTACTAGGCCCTCTTCCTCTCAAAACCGAGCCCCTCGTACCCCTGTTATCAAGCAGATTCTTCATCTCTGTTCTTGCTTGTCTCTGTGCCTCCTCCACTCTTGCCTTGAACACCATCACTTCGTCTTTCTCGACAGGGTATTCCTTCTGTTTTTCGCCCAAAGCCGCTTCAATTCTCATCCATAGCTCGACATCGTACTGCGTTACGATTGATATGGCCCGACCGGCTTTGCCTGCACGAGCGGTTCTTCCCACGCGATGAACATATGTCTTACTATCGCCTGGAAGATCGTAGTTGATCACAATATCGACATTTGGGATATCAAGACCTCGCGCAGCAACATCCGTCGCCACCAGAATGTTGCGACTACCAGCGCGAAATTTGTTCAAGGCGCCAAGACGATTCGATTGGCTAAGACCACCATGTAGAGGGATAGCCCCAAACGAGAGAGCACGGAGCATAATTGCGATCCGCTGCGTGTCGGTAACCGTACGGCAAAATATGATGGTCGAGGATCCGGCGAACTCGTTGACGAGGTGAACGAGATAGACGTCCTTGTGCATGTGGGGTATGAACATGTAGTTCTGTTTCAGGGTAGAGACAACCTGATATTTGCTCGTGCTGATGCTGACTTTGAGAGGATCTCGCAAACTAGCGCGTTGCAGGCTCTCCACCTTTGAGCTCATGGTGGCGGAGAAGAGCATGGTCCTTCTTTCTCGGGGAACAAATTTGAGGATCTTATCAATGACCGGACCAAACTCGAGCTCTAGCAACCTATCTGCTTCATCGAGAACAAGGTATTTAAGAGCTCGTAGGCTGAACCCCTTTGTTCGTTCCAGGTGATCGAGTAAGCGACCCGGGGTGGCCACTATAATGTGCGGCTTCTTTCCCAGGGCAATGGATTGTGGTACCATATCCAGACCACCAACAATCACCGCACATCGCAGAGATATTATACTGCCGAGAGCATCAAACTGCTGGCCGATCTGATGCGCCAGTTCACGAGTGGGAGCTAGGACAAGTCCGAAGAGAGGCTGGGGTTTAACGAGGAGCGACTGTAGGATTGGAAGAGCAAAAGCGGCGGTCTTTCCTGATCCGGTCTCCGCCAAGCCGATAACATCTCTATCTTGGAGGGCGAGGGGTATTGTTTGTGTCTGGATCGGAGTGGGTTTCGACCAGCCTAAGCTATCACAGGCTTCGCAGAGAGAGTCGACAAGACCCTTGGACGGTTTAGCTTGACAACGGAAGGAATGTGTTCGTAGAAAACTTACAAGATCTTTGAACGTCTTGGGAGCTGAACCATCGGCATTCTGGAGAGCATTGTCTGCTGTGTCAGGTTCTGAAGAAGTAAGTGATGAATCATCTACTGGCGTGCGGCTCGAGACGCCAACATCCTGATGTGGAGAGTCCTGGGACTCGTGAGTCAACTTTCGGCGTTTTGCTGACATATTTGCGTAGGCGAATGATTGTATGTGCCCGTTGGATGTCGGGAAGCGACAGATATCCTGCTGAAGGTGATAAGACTGCCGTGGGAGGCAATACGACTGGTGTTTTCTTGCGTATGTGTGTGTGAGGGTGGATGATTATTGACGGTGGGGAGTCTGGGGGGGTTGTCTGGAAATTTTTATGGGAGCATCTTATCGGTTAGCCAAAACTCCTTATCGCCTCGCCCCGCTCAAAAAGTCTGATTTCCAGTACCAAAAATTTCCCAAGCTTCTCGCTGCCAGGACTTGATCCATCTACCACATCGGGACAGCATTGGCGACTTTCTGGTTACCAGTCAACACAAAAACAAAGGCGCTATGGCGAAACGAAGAACGAAGAAGCGCACGCACGTTGCGGCGAACCCAAATGCCAAAACCTCTGCGGCCCCGACAACCGGCCATGCCAACATACGGGATCCCAAGAGCATGGTCATTCGCATAGGCGCTGGTGAAGTCGGATCCAGCGTCAGTCAATTGGCGACCGATGTGCGCCGGGTGATGGAGCCCGGCACTGCGAGTCGATTGAGAGAGAGAAGGGCGAACAGGTTACGAGACTATCTCACCATGTGCGGACCTTTAGGCGTTACACATCTGCTTCTCTTCTCAAGATCCGAGTCTGGCAATACAAACCTGCGCATTGCTCTAACTCCAAGGGGACCGACACTGAACTTCAGAGTTGAGAAGTACTCGCTAGCAAAGGATGTTCGGAGAGCAATGCGACATCCGAAAGGGGGTGGAAAGGAATACATTACGCCGCCATTGGTACGTACAGTCCCCTCAATTAGATTATGGTCATGATTGCTAACTCCTCCTGCAGCTGGTCATGAACAACTTCACAAGCCCTACATCTGATGCAAATTCGAAAACACCGAAACACCTCGAATCTCTAACCACAACCGTCTTTCAGTCTCTCTTTCCGCCAATCAACCCCACTACCACCCCGCTGAAGTCGATACGGAGAGTACTACTATTGAATCGCGAGCAGTCAGAAGACGACGGTTCATTTGTGGTCAATGTCAGACATTATGCTATTACGACCAAGGCCACAGGCCTCTCTAAGCCCCTCAAGCGCATCAACGCGGCCGAGAAGCTCTTCGGCAGCAAAAGCAAGAAGGCGGCCATGCCGAACTTGAGCAAGCTCCAGGATATCTCTGAATTTATCAATGGAGGTGAAAATGGCGACGGCTACACAACAGATGCTACAAGTGGCAGCGAGATCGGCACAGACGACGAAGTTGAGGTTCTGGAAACGGCACCAAGGAGAGTCCTAACTGCCAAAGCTCGCGTAGCTGCGGCTGAGGCAGAACCACTCGATACACCTGCGGACGAGAGGGTCGAACGTCGTGGTGTTAAACTGGTTGAGTTAGGACCGCGCATGAAATTGAGGATGACCAAGGTTGAGGAAGGGCTTTGCTCTGGTAAAGTTATGTGGCACGAGTATATCCATAAGACCAAGGATGAAATCAGAGAGCTCGAGAAGACATGGGAAAAGCGGAACAAAGAGAAGGAGGCGAGGAGGCAACAGCAGAAAGAAAATGTGGAGAAGAAACAGAAAGCTAAGGCTGAAAAGCGGGCTCAAGGCAAGGACGACGAGGATGAGGATGAAATGGATCTGGATGACCTTGGAAGCGATGCGTACGAGTATTTGGATGAGGATGAGGATGCGTTTGACAGCGAGGGCTTGGAGGGCGACATTGAGACACAGATCCATGAGCGAATGGAAGAGAATGGCGAGTGGGAAAGTGAGGAGGAAGATATAGCTGATGGAGGATGAGAAGATAGCCATATGATGGAATTTAAATTCGGCGGCTGATAATTACAATGAATACCCCTATGTAAAGATTTTAATGATCAAGTGTCACCTGTCATGTGCTTGTTGATCCACAGTCTCGACTTCCTCCTTCTCTCCTATCGATCCTTCTATCAGATCTTGTTTTACTCCCTCTTCTTTGACTTCCTCTGGTACCTTTGCATACGAGAAACAATATACGGATACTGCGCATGCAACGACAAGTGACGCTGCTGAGAGTAGCAGTATGAACTTCCTGTTATGGGTATCTGTAGCATTGTTAGTGTTGCTATCGCCGTATATCTGTAAAGGGAGGACGTACCTCTCGCGGTGATAGCAAGCGACATGACGACGGATAAGAAAAGGGGGATCTTCAACAGCCCATATACACCGGCCCGGTTGCTCTCGTCAACTACCAAGCCTCTCTGGAATGCAATACTAGGCACATATATCCCGTTGCATACTTCGAATAAGAGGCACATGGCGAAAGTACCAAGCTCACTGGTCACTAGGGACATGCCTAACAGGCTCAGTGCTGCAACAAACACCGATGTCGCCAGGAGCGACTGAGTTGTGAACGAAGGCCGGACAATCCACCATCCTTGCACCTCGCCCTGGCCCCGAAAAGCAGCATGGTCTTTCGTCAAATTCCGGAATAGCCAAGCACCTAATATCATCGCAGCCATAAAGGTAGAAAAGGCTGGGCCATAGGGAATGTCTCCATCGCCATGATCGTTGGTGTGCGCTTCTTGCAGCATGCCTGGCCAGAAGAACACCACGAGAAAGGTAGTTCCTTCGAAACAACACCCGACAAAGCTCAATGCCCAAATGCGCGGATCTACCCTCGTCAGTACGAGCAAGAAACATGAGGCAAAAATTTGAGATACCCACCACCAAGTTGTAGACCTGGAGCCGTCTCCTTGCGTGCAGCAGCATCCTCCAGGGACTCATTTTCTGGGGCTTGGACACCGTAATTCTCAGGCTGCATTGTCAGTCAGCATGACGAATAGAGAATTTAGAACGCTGTTTCGAACTTACCCAAGTCTTCCACATGAGGAAGGCTGCCGCGGCTTCGAGAGTCTGCGCACTGTTAGTCTTTCGTTAATATATTGGGACGAATGCCTTCACATACAATGCCTGCCACAAATGGATCCTTTCTCGACCCCAATGCCAGGACCATGCAATGACCAAGGACGCCACCTAGGATTGCCGCCATGCAGTTCGAAGTCGTCATAATTCCGAACATGGAGCTCAACGGCACTGAGCTGTCTTCGAAACCTCGCGAGATGTACTCAGTGACCATCCAGCTCTCGAACACCGTCCAAAGCAGCGTCAAGGCTATGCCTGCTAATATCCTCCCAATAATCAACACGGCCAGATTTTGCGATAGCACAGTCAGGCAAGCAACCGAGTGGATTATGCAGAAGCAGAAACAGGCCGCGCGACGACCATAGCGATCAGCCAGAAAGCCAGTGCCTAATGCTGAGACTGCAGCAGCGATGTAGACAGTTGCGTAGAGTGCCGCAACTGTTGATTCGGGGAGCGCCTTTTCGTCACGAAGGAGAGTGTATAGATATGGCCCTTGTAGCCATTCCGATCCCATCACAAGGAGATATACCTGCAGAAATAGCCTCCGGAACTTGCTCGCCTCCTCATCTTTGGTAATTGTCTCTGCATCCTCTGTCGTATTGACCTTTTCCCATCGCGTGAACCGCTGAAAGGGGCGAAGCAGCAGGTTCTTGCCCGTCAAGAGGACGACGGTGGGCAGGAGCACCAGCAACGCCGTCCAGTAGATATCCAGGCTCATTTCGGTTTGTCGTCAATAGTTGCCCTTCAGTCCAATATTTCCCTTCGCAAGGACTCGAATCCAGGGATAGCAGACGGTTTTGGGGGAAGACACAGGCGCGCACCCAGCTTTTTGTGTGCTCGCCTGTTCCCGCCGAGACGCCATTCCAATGACACCCGCCGCCGAATCATTCCTCTGCATGAGCGCCGTCAACAAATTAACATTCCAGCGGGCAAGCATCGTGTCTCAGTCTCTTTCACTCAAGCTTAATTGACTGCTGCAGTGACTGTAGGTTCGACGCTACTCTCGGCTGGTCGTCTTGCTGACAGTCGTTGACATGGCTTCCGAAGGGCCACGGCTGTATCCCGTAACCCTATCTGGCCCGTCGGTCAGGTGTGGTCATGGCTGGAGGCGACATCATGAGCCGCACTCGTCATCAGTCGGTTGCCCGCGGGATCTTGATTCAGTCCAGCCCCTTCAGAATCTCATCCATCCCTCCATCTTGCTCGAAGGGCCAGCATAAGGGTTTATACAGTGTCGTCGTTCTTCAGCTGCAATATTCATGGCTTGTGCAATATTAGCAGCGAATTGCAGCGGGGGCCCTGACTAGATTCATATGAGGACATGCCAGCCTAACATAAACAAAGAGCCATTCCACTTCTTAAGTGAAGTGTCAGGTTGACGGCCATGAGCTTGTTTGTGCGGAGTGCTACACATACATCCCTGGGCACCCCACGGTCAATTCCAGGCGATCACTGGCGCTATTCTTGGCACGTTCCCGCCCAAATTCGCCTGTCAATGACGCTGCATTTCTCGAGCAGGCCCGCCCCAGAAGGTTTCAGAAGTGAAGAGCTTACAGGACGGCACAGCGCTGTCTTGGCCAGTTAGACTTTCCCTAGTGCAAAGCTTCAAGCGACGCTCACCCACTACTGGCCGTTAAGGTGATGGCTAAACGACTTGACAGGCGTGACGGTATCTGAATGCCTTCAACAATTATCTTTGCTGTGCCATTGTGATGTAACTGTCCCCTTCGCGGACCTAGGCTGCTTACAGTGAATTTCGTTATGCCAGAAACTGGAGGACACCCCCAGTGAGAAACAAATCAGCACAAATTATTACGGTATATACTCTTTGTGACATTATGCAAGCCTCTCTTGTCACTCCGTCGTCTCCAATTGGCGGCCGCCGTACGTGGGAGGGGTGTCAGCATCTCTGGCTGGTACGTTCACAACAGGAGGATGAACAAGCATTTGCGAAATCCTTTGCATGTAAAATAAGATTGCAATGTGAGATGAGCACCTTATGTCGACGTGAGATGTGCAGTCTTCTCTGTGTTGGCAATATAGGAGAGAGTAAACGAAACCACAGTGGTTCTATATCGTGATAATGGTCGCTGCAATACGTCGAGTTCTACAGCATGCTAAACGGATTTGTTTTGGACGGGTGCCGCCGCCTGGTTCTCCACCCGAAACTACGTACGGAAGGCGATAAGGCGAACTGTGCCAAAATCATTTTTTGTCAATGCATTCACCCCGCAGTACCAGGGTGTACGTACTTTAAGCCAATAGTATTCAGTTGTTCAATAAAAAATAGACGCAATTGATTTAGAGGATGATATTACTATAGTGATTAACCCTAGAACTATATTATATAGGTTAGATTTTGAGCTGTATACGAATATACGTGATTTTTCAAAGTTATACAAAATCGTACAGATTCCTAAGCATCTATACAATGAATGATAACAAAGATATCCCAGCTTATAAAGACAAATACCCTTATATAGAAGTAAACAAGTCTTATTTTACTATTATAAGCGAAAATCCAAGTTTTTCTACCTGCCCTTGGTGTATACTTCCGTTACCTATCGTATATAACCTTACTTTATCGTCTGAACAAACCATACCTTTTCAACCTATCCGTAAAATATATTGTATATAAATAAACTATCCTAGGTTAACAACTTTCATATCTTTTATACCTTTGATTATTGAAGAATTGCTTAGAATAGCTAATAAGGACTGTCTATAGAATATACAAAAGATAAAAAAGACTATACGGTTGCTTATAGTATAAGTTGGACTTTATTTATACTCAGCAGATTTCTACTAGTTAGGTTAAGGATTTCCATATAAGAAATACTATCTTATATAGACATATAAGAAATTCAAAGCTTATATAATTATACTCGACTATATATATAATAGCTTTAAGCAGTTCTACTCTATACTATTCCAATCATTCAATATTAAAGAGAAGGTTTTAAAAGAATAATAGACTTTAGTGGCAAAAGTGACTGTTGGAGGCAGTCTAAGTGTCATATACTTTAGTACAAAAGTGACTAAGCTTAAATCGCTTCAAAAGGTATTTAATTTGGCTTATAAGAATCGTAAATAGCCTCCTTATTTTCTACAATTTATTATAAAGAAGGAAATTCCGATCCTATAATATAGAAGACCTAAGGCTAAAGACTTAGAGAAACTAGACGATAATATATAAGATTCTATATTAAAGATCGATGATAATAGCTTATAAAAAAGTATAAATAAAGCTAAACATAAGAGGCAAAGTAGGTTAATAGTAAATATAGTATCTATAAGTGTTGATAAAGCAAAAGTCAAGGCTAAGAAAGTAGGATCAAAGTCAAACCCTTATATAAAGAAGAAAGCTATCTAAAGAGATGATAGTAAAGAGAAGATTATAGCTAAAAAAATCAAGGCTGAAATTAGAATTATCTTAATCTTTAAAGAAGACAAACTAACAGTATAGTAAAGTACTGTTAAGAAGGAATTGATTATATTTAAGATAAGTATATATTAGACTAATTATAGTCTTAAGAAGAAGCAAAGTCATTAGAATATATTAGGGTTTGAAGATGATTAAGTAAAAGAGAATTTTGACGTATTAGATATAACCAATATAAATTAAGTATAATTAGATAAAAACAACCAAGTTACTAGCTATTTCTTTAGATATAGTTTAAGATAGTCTCTTCTTTAGCTTCTGATTTAACATTAAGGCTAGTTAACTCTATTTTATTCTATTTAAAGAATTGCCAAATATATTGTTTGCCTTCTAACGTTGATAAAAGAAGTATAAGCTTTAGCTAAGCTTTTTGATCAATATACTATCGTAATTTATACCATAGAATATTATACTAAAGAAAGTATAGATTATCCCATTAATCTTCAAGGATCTACAGTAGAATTCTATCAAAAGTCTTAGAGATATAGTCGTAGATTTACTCTATACTAGATAGAAGATACTGATTAAGGTTAATATTATCTTAGTCAACAATATTCTTAAAAGATCTTTATCATTTAAGGTTTAATAAGACTCTATAGTCTCTTACTTTAACGGGATTAGGCATATAATAAAGTATATAAAGAATCCTAAGAATAATATACTCTTTATAAGTTTGTTTGCAGATAAGATAAGCATTCTAAAGCTATATAAACCTAGCAAAGTCTGAATAAAGCTATAGTATATAGATATATAATAAGGCAACTTGATTAGCTAAGTTATTAGTAGAGAAAAGATTATTTTCTGATAGTTAAAGAAAGTATTTCTTTTTACTTATTAATATACTATCTTACAACTTTGTAAAAGATAGTACTTATACGCCAAAAGAGTGTATACCCTTCATATAACCGGCCCTACCAGCTTTCAATCTTGATATTTTGTATACTCTTTCCATATATCCAGCAATCTCTAAAAGAGACTATAGATAAAGATAAAGAGTTTGAGTCATCATCTAGAGACTTAATTGAAGGAGATCTAGTTGAGTACTCTTTTATAGACGATTATATATTATTGAAAGAAGATAGTTAAGACTATTAAAATCAAATTGGCCTTGGTTCAGTAGATGTAAGCCAGTAATAAGCTCCTGCTATAAGTGGTGTTTCTTTTCCTTAATCTGCTTAAATTTAAGTAGGTATAAAGCTATACCAACCAATAACATTAATATACTAAGCCAAAACAGATTGTATAGTTAAAGTAGATACTCTTATATAAAACTATACAATGTACTAAGAATATACATCAATTCTAGTATAGATTTTGATTCCTTATTATTATAATTTATAATACCTATCAATTGACTAAATATAATTTGGTCCATCATAGGTCCAACCTATATAGTGTCGATGAACCCTCTATCGACATTATTCAATCTTACTTAGATAGAATTCATAGTAAATCGTTTATAAGGAATCTCATAGAATGTTAAATAGTTGTTGTTGAATATATATATAAAAATAAGTTCTTTCCATATTATATATTAGATTATCTTAAGTTGATTTAGTCTCAAAATAGCGTCATACTTTAGTGATTATCAATTAAAGAGCTTTTAAATCATTATATCGACAGAATATACCTACTTATTTTCAAATCTAGAAAATACTATAAAAAAATACTATATACCCTTTGTTATGAAGGTATATAAGTAGTTGTTGATCTAATAAATCAAATTTATAGAATATTAATATCATCTTATCTTATAATTCAGAAGATAGCTTTATATACTCCTGACGTCTAAGCTCCTATTGCTAAATTTGGCATATTAAGGTATATTTTTGGAAGTTTACTAGTGTAAGAGTCTAAATATATTCATATACTTTAGTAATTGTTTGGCCATCCTCTAATAAGCTTTTTATAGTATCTTGATACTAATCAAGATTGATTGATAGACGACTAAGCATAATCAGTATTGATTTGCCAAAAATAAGCCTATATAAAATTGTAGATTTAGACTTAAGAAAAGATTTTGTAGGTGAAGATTATCAAAAATAGCTTATATAACGAAATAGCAGTATATAGGCACATATATCATAGTATAAGTTAGTATAAAGTCGTTTTAAAGAGCATAAGAATAGTATTTTCCTAGTGTAGGGATATTATCTAAAGTATAATATTATAAAGGTAAGTAAAGGAAGTAAAAAAGCAAGATTCTCTCTAATAAGTATATTTATCATAGTAGAAGTTTATATTAGGCTAACTAAAACCAATGAGGTTATGTATCAGGCTGAATGAAGCTAAATGAAGATATGTAGAATCATGTAGAGTCAAAATGTTATTATAACGAAAGGATGTTAACCAAATGGTTATATACCAGCCTATAAAGGCCTAATACTCATCTATACAGTCATCTATATCGTTGTATACGATTACTTGTTGCAGCATATTGTCAACTCATACTCTATAGCATCTTATAAAGCCTAAAGAACATTATTACTTATAAGACTAAGGAAGTTAGTCTCTAAAGAAGTCTGTACAACTAGAATAAGAGACTATATAAGCTTAATCTTCTTAAAAGGAAAGTTATACTCAGAAAAAGACTCTAGATCATCGTTATCATAGGCATGTTTAGAAGACTTTATAATAGGCTTAAATATAGTCAAGATTATATAAGTTAGTATAAATCTATATACTATTATAGAAACTATATCAACTTATAAAAGCATCTCTTAGCTTATGAACGAAACTGACAGTAGGTATATACACCATCCTAGGTGTGACCAGCGTCGCTTACATATATATGAAAAGGATTATCAATATATATATTTCTACAGTTATTATAGCAATCTATACCAATATATATAAGGTCAAACCTAGTTTATATTAGCTTATATAATCTTATACTAAACTATAAGAGTTTTTACATTAAATATCCAACATAAGCAGATATATACTACTGACAATCTTTCTTAATTAAGGGTATAGTGATGTGACCATCTTTGTTAACTATAGACTTAAGATCAATCTTATATATAAGAATCTATATAAGCTTGATCAATACTATACTAAGGAAACTAAATGATAGAAGTATATATATACCGTCAATATTAAGCAAGATCTTTTATACATCTTTATATAAGCTCTTTATAATGTTTTTAAGCATTCAACCAGTCACTATAGCCTTATCCTTAGGCTGTTTGTCAGGGTTAGCAGACAAAACAATCTCTTTACCATTATATATAAATGTCATTTCCTTAATAAAGTCAATCTTAGCTATATTAAGCTATAGAGCTTCAATATAAGCCTCCTCAACCGTATATAAAGGCTTATTCTACTCCTTACGACTCTTATTGTCTATAGTAGCCTCTACAGCCTTATATACAACTATCTTACAAGCCATCATGCTAGTATTAGTCTATACTAGCTAGTATAAAGCTATAAAAGATAGTGCTAGACTAACTTAAGCCTTTTTGACTGCTTGACAGATAAAGAGTATATAGGTATATAAAAGCCTAAAGGAGATCTATACAACTATATATAAATCTAACAGTAAGTAAACCTATAGAGAAGTCAGTATATATATATAGAATACTGTAGGATACTACAAAATATGCTAAAAAAGGCCTTTTTGCCTACCAAAATCAGATAACCCAATTTTGACGTAAATCTGACCGGAAAAAATCATTTTTATAGTATATATAATCTTGCAAAAAAGAATATTATACCTACACAATCATAGCTATACGTACTGGTGAGATATGGGTGAGGGAAGGCTATACTTACTTTGTTGGTGGTTG